TAAAGCTTCCAAGGATTTCTACAGAACAACTTCATACAATAAATAAAGCAATTACAAAAGAAGAGGTAGAAAAAGCTATAAACAATCTGGTTCAATTTAAAAATCCAGGGCCAGATGGATTTAGTAATTTTTTTTTAAAGTAATGAAAAAGATAATATCAGATAATCTAACTAAGACATTTAATAATGTGGTTAAAGAGGGAAGTTTCCCCCGAAGAAATGTTAAAAGCCAATATATTACCTATCTTAAAGTCAGGGAAAGAGCCCTCTGATGTGAAAAGTTACCGTCCAATCTCGCTTATTAATGTCGATGTTAAACGACATTAACAGAACTTATACACTCTGATCAGTGGTGTACACACAATCCATGGGGCCCCGGTGCAAAACTGATCCGTGGGCCCCCCTGCCTCTGATCCATGCACACCCATCCCTCCTGACACATACACACAGACACACACACACAAACATACACACACACACACAGACAGACACACATACATACACCCCTCAACAGACACATACATACAGACAGACACACACATATATACACACACACACAGACACACACACATACATAGACACAGACACATACATACATACGGGGCCCCATGGATTGTGTGTACGCCACTGCATACATAGACACACACACATACAGAGACACACAAACATACATACAGAGACACACACAAATACATACAGAGAGACACAGACACACATACATAGACACACACATATACATACGGGGCCCCAAGGATTGTGTGTACACCACTGCATACATAGACACACACACACATACAGAGACACACACACACGTACATACAGAGACACACACACGTACATACAGAGGCACACACAAATACATACAGAGAGACACACAAATACATACAGACACACATACAGAGAGACACAGACACCCACATACAGAGACACACACACATACAAAGAGACACAGACACACAAAAAGAGACACACATACAGAGAGACACAGACACACACACATACAGAGACACACACACACATACAGAGACACACACACATACAAAGACACACACACATACAGAGACACAGACACACACACATATAGAAACACAGACACACACACATATAGAAAATGTTTCCTACCTTGTGACTTTCCCTGGGATCCAGTGGGGGCTCAGCCTGATGGGAGTCAGAGTTCCCACTCTGACTCCCTCCTCCTCCTCCTTCCTCCCACGCGTGCTCTCAGTATGCTGGGAGGAGTGACCGGGGAATCACTCCCTCCCAGCGATGATTTCATCCCAGAGGGCCAGGTCGTGCTGTTAAAGTGCCCAGCACAGACCGAGCCCCCTCACAATCCATATCCATTGGGTGGCCCTGACAGCATGGGCCACCCGATGGACCCCTCCATATGCGGCCCTGGCGGTTTGCCGTGCGGGCCGGGGCCGCAAAACATGGCAACTGGTAGCCGGTTGCAGGGGTCCGCAGGGCAGCCGGGCCCCCTGGAGTGCCGGGCCCGGTCGCAGCTGCGACCCCTGCGACTGCGGTATGTATGCCGCTGACTCTGATCAAATTGGTTTTGTACCAGGTAGAATGGCTAGTAACAATATAAGAAGACTGATTGACTCTATTGACCTGGCGGACCAGGGAAAGAGGCCCTTTCTGATCATGTCGTTAGATGCTGAAAAGGCCTTTGACAGGGTCAGCTGGGGCTTCATGGAAAAGATTCTTGAAACATTTGGTCTTGTAGAATGGATACAAAGAGCGATTATGTCATTATATCATGCCCCCGTAACAAGGACCATAGGTCCTGACATATGTGCTTCTTGGTTTGAACTTAAAAATGGGACGAGACAGGGTTGTCCCCTGTCTCCTATCCTATATCTCTTAACAGTTGAAGTGGTAGCATCTAGAGTAAGAGATATTAATCAATGGGAGGGAGTTAAAATTCTTCAGGGGGAAGTACACATTTCGCTATATGCGGATGATATATTGTTGTATATCCCCAATCCCACGATTAACCTACCTAAAATCTTTGAAATCTAGGATGATTACAGTGATTCCTCTAACTATAAGTTGAATAAGTCAAAATCTGTGGCACTGTGTAAAAATATAGAAAAATCTGAAATAAATATAATTCAACAGAAATATAACTTTCTATATCCTAAAGGATTCACATATTTGGGGGTAAAAATATGCGGTCAAATAGATAGTATGATGAAAAATATTTTTTTTCTATCTATTAAAAGAAACAAACAAGGATTTGAAAGAATGGAGCAGAGCAGAAGGCTTGTGGTGGGGGCGGGTTAATATAATAAAGTCATATGTACTTCCTAAATGGAGCTACGTGTGATGATACCCTTGACTATCCCCATACCTTGGCTTGCTATGATTAAAAGATCTTTTGCTAATTTTATCTGGAGAGGGAAAAACCCAGGATTAAACAGTCATTACTGTCTAATGGAATTCAGTAAGGTGGGATGGGTCTCCCTGATATTAAAGCTTATTATCAAGCTGGGATAGTTTTACATATAGTCCTTTTAAATAAAGAACAAATGAGAAGGGAAAGATGGTTTAAAATAGAAACATAGATTGTCAGCATAGAAGATCTCTCTATCTTGATTTGGAGCGCTAAGGAAGAGAACTATTGTCTATCACATACTGAATCAGCTTATACCAATGTGGATTACAATTAAGAAGAAATTAAAAATCAATGATAAATTGTTTGATTTCAAAAAAATAGATAATTATTGAGAAAGTCATTTCTAATATATCGCAAAAAAATTGGAGAGAAAATAATATCCTATTTATAGAGAATATATGGGAAGATGACAAAATTAAGCATTTCAATTTCCGGTTGTCGAATAGAGAGATATTCAATTTTTTTGAGAGTAAAGAATTTTCCATCTAATAATACCATTCTCTCCAAGGGAGGACTATATAATCAGATGAAAGTAGTATTTTTTACACATACTTTGAAGCACCAATTCTCTACGTGTGTTAAAACGATTGATTTAGGAAAGGCTAAAAGTATTCCGTCGATAACAGTAAGATGGGAAAGAGATTTGGATATCCATATAGAAGCAGAGAAATGGTGCACAGCACTCTATTAAGTGTATAAAGTGGTCGAAGGTCTTTCCTTAGTTAAAACTAATTTCAAAATCATAAATAAATGATATTTGGTTCCAACCAGATTATCAAAGATCCATCCAAGGTATAGACAATCCTGGTGGAGATGTGGGGCCGAATCTGGTAATTATTTACATATATGGTGGCTTTGTGAAAAGGTCATCTCTTTATGGACCTTAGCTCAGCATATTATTTTATATTTAAGCAAGGTGAAGATACTACGCAAACCACATACGATGTTATTACATCTTAACTGGCTAAACATGACAAACATCCAACAGATAATATTTATTCATTGTTTGATTGCAATTAAGATATTGATAGCAAGAAACTGGCAAAGAGATCAATCCTTTGTTCAAGCCCAACTTAACACTCAATTAAGGTTTCAATTTCAAATGGAAAGAGGGATGAGCCATATCAGGGGCTCATACAAAGAAAAATGGGATAAATTGTTGTATGTCTTAGAGACACTGGATAAGAATTAAGTTTGTTGGGGCGAAATCTCTTCAAATGCAATAAATTGTAAAAAGAAGAGCGGGATTAGGAAGGAAAGTCCCACCAACCGACTTGCGCCACATGCTGAAGTATCAAGTAATGTTTTTTCTTAATTTTTTTTTTTGTCTTGCTATGTATGTAATGCAAGAACAAAAAACAAACAAAAAAAAAGAATAAAGAACCAATCAATCAACAGCAGAGTATATAAAGGTCATATTGAACTAAGCTCATCCTCTTTCTTGAAGCGACATACAATTCAGCACAGAATGAAAACCATAAGGAACATCCAGAAGCACATTCCAATAATATGAGGAACGTGAAGAACAAGAAGTGATTTACACTGAAAAGAGAATGTGAAATAGGTTAGAAACTGATCCAAAGACTGTCAAAGCAAACAAGACATCACTGGATACATCCCTAATTCATTTCTGTTAGAGAACATATAACCGTAAGAACAGTAACCAAACTAGCAATAGGCTAAAACTAAACCAGTCACAAAAGTCAGAATAAAATCATAACACTCTCTGTAACTGTAATAACCGAACGTGATACAACATGATAAATTAAAAGAACTAACATGATAAATTAGGAAAACCAAACGATAGCAGAAAACATAGTGTACAGAAACATTCACCATCTATCCCAGAACTCCCCAGACACCCCCTGAGAAAGCATCAGGGGAAGGGAATAAGGGAGGGAAAATACTCGCCTCCTGTCATTAAAATTGTAGATTATGCTAACGTAGTGTACCTATAATCTTAATTTTAATAATGACAGGAGGCGAGTATTTTGCATAACTTTCTTTACTTTATTCCTCCAGCAGCACAAGTCAATCAATAAACTTTAAACCAATCAGTAACAGGTATCACATCCATATATAAAGCCCTGACAGTCACATGACTTCCTCTTTCTTTGATGCAAAATACAGTCTATTATAACGTCAGGGAATTCAAATAACAGTCCTGAGTAACGTGTAGAACATAACTTGAAACCTTCCAGCTTTATCTTGTCGAATCCATCTATGATGATTACGCTGAAAAGAACAGAAATACGTGAAAGGTGATGGAAACCAACTGTTGTCCACATTAAATCCAGTACTATACGTATCTATATTTATATTAAGTTAATATACTGAAACATTAAACAACCATAGTATACTTAATAATCAACACGGATCTAACACAGAAAAAGTGTGCAGCGCATGAACCAAACCCACAAATCTTATAGGAGTATAAGCACAATCAGTGCATAAAAATACAAAGAGAGATAAATACCCCAGTATTTTAAGATCTTTAAGGGTCATACGTTTTGGTCAGATCCCATATAGAAACTGGTTCAAGTAGTATCACTTTAAAATGTCTCAGGTCAAATCTTGAAGTTACTCCCAGGGATGTAGCTTGATCCTCTTTTTTCAATAGCCTCCAGAAATCTTGCAAGAATGGGTGGAGCCACCTCTGGAGGGGAAAACTGATCAACCAACTCGGGAAGAAATGTCCCAGTCAGAGCCGCTCGCTGTCCGTTGCACGGCACTCGTGCAGGCCGCGTCCTGTTTCCTCCTGGCCACTTTTCACATGCTGAGCGCTGGAGCTGCCATGATGAAGCGAAGGGAGTCCAAGAGCCGAGCGAAGACGGAAACAACCGAAGGGTGACGTGAACAAACGAGCAACGGCGGCGCAGAAAGCAGAAACAAGATACAGCGCGTTGCTGCTGACCGCGTCACCCTGTTCGCTGGCTTCCGAAACACCGCCATCATAACGCTTGCTTCGCTTATAATAACCGGCGCTGAACGCCCGGCTTACAGCCTGCTTTAAGTAACGGCTCTGCTGGGTTTCGAACCCTGGTTTACATGGTGCTAAACCTTTTCCTTACCAGTACACCAGCCTGCCTTTTGCAAATTTACCTGAGATCTGATACTATTGTTTGTAGAGTCAAGGTTATCAGTGACAACTCACTTCAGCTGTGTCTGGTCAGGTGTCTGGTCCTTGGCCTATAAAAGCCACTTCCTGTCTCTGTACCTTTGCCAGATTATTGTGGTTCCTGTACTCTCTAATCAAGCGTGTTCCTGTTTCTCCTTCCTGTTGCTGAATTTGGACTGTTTTTGACTTTGCTGCTTCTCCTTCCCACTGACCTCGGCTTGCCTCACTACGATTATCATCTTTCTGTTCAGTCTCCCATCTCTGCTTAAGACCAGAAGGCCACTCAAGGCTCAGGGGCTCAACCACCTGGGTAACGAGTGGCTACCTCTGGCAGAAAACATTGCTGATCTGGCTACTGGACTCCAAAACTTTGTAACATCAATATCATTACAGAATAATCTGGCCCATTCATGGAGACCGTCGGATCAGATTCTGCATTGGCCCAGCAGGTTGCTTTTAATGCAAGAACTATGCAGACCCAGGCACAGACATTCAAGTGCTGCAGGATCAGGTAGCTGAACTGCAAAATGAAGTTCGATCAATGCATAGTGAGCTTACCAGCTACAGGGCACATGATGTTGCGGCTGCTGCTACTACTACTGTTACACCTGCACAAGATGCCCGCTTGCCTCTACCAGAAAAATTTGGAGGAGACCGCAAAAAATTCAGGGGTTTCCTAAATCAATGCCGTTTGCATTTCATGATGTTACCTAACCGTTTTCCATCTGAAAGAGAGAAGGTGGGATTTATTTTTTCCCTCTTCAAAGATGAAGCCCTGGCCTGGGGCTCCCCTTTTCTGGAACAGGACAGTCCAATCTTGGGAAATTTAAAAGACTTTCTTGAGGCCATGTGCCTAGTTTTTGATGATCCCAATCGCTGTGCTACAGCAGAAGCCACTCTCCTTCATTTACATCAAGGGAGGCGCTCTGTGGCTGAATATGCTGCTGAATTCAGACAGTGGGTTACTGATACTACTTGGAACCAATCAGCCCAGAGGTTCCACTTCAGAAGGGGTCTCTCAGAAGCTATAAAAGATGAGCTAGCTCGTGTTGATCTTCCTGTTGAGTTTGATGCATTTGTGCGGTTGGCTATCCGTATTGATCGGAGACTTTCAGAAAGAAGATTGGAAAGACAGGGCTCTTTTAAACCAAGTGCTACTCCTACTTTCTATTCAAGAATTTCTACTCCGACCCCACAAACACCTACAGACTCTGAACCTGAGGCTATGCAGGTAGATCTAATAAGAGGGCCATTATCCAATGAAGAAAAACAGTGGCGACGCACTCACAACTTATGCCTGTATTGTGGTAGTGCAGGGCATTATGCCATCAATTGCCCTAACAAGTCTAAAAGAACAATAGCTATGACTGCTGAGGGTGCACAGATTCAACACCAATCCCAGATTTCAGACCAACTGGATTCTGTCACACAACCCTTGTTTTCTCTGGCTCAGGGTGAAGAAGGTATGATGACTCAACATCCTCATTTGGTGGTGCCTATCACTTTGCAATATGGTGATAATAAAATTTCAACTACAGCTATGATAGATTCCGGAGCAGGCGGAAACTTTATGGACATTAAATTTGCAGCAGGAAATAAAATTCAGTCTATCCCTAAATCTTCACCTGTGTTAATGGAAACAGTAGACGGTTCTCCACTTACGTCAGGCCCGGTTACACATGAGACTGTGCCCTTAAAATTGATTCTGGAAGTGAATCACCATGAGTCTATATCTTTCCACCTAATTTCCTCAACACAGTTTCCAGTGATTTTGGGTATACCCTGGCTTGCTCTGCATAACCCACAGATTGATTGGAAGACTAGAACTTTGTCCTTTCCTTCAGAACACTGCTTAATGAATTGTCAACCCTCTAAGGCGACACCTGTTACCACAACAATTAATGAAATGGTTGTTACAAACTTAACCAAGCTTCCTCTACAATATCGTGATTTTGCAGATGTCTGTGATAAGAAGAATGCTGATCAGCTTCCACCTCACAGGCCTTATGATTGCCCCATAGAGCTGCTACCTGGAGCTGCTATCCCATTTGGCCGTATATACTCCCTTTCTGAGCCTGAATTGAAAGCACTTCGTGAATACATACAAGAAAATCTTGCCAAAGGCTTTATTCGACCATCCACTTCTCCAGCAGGAGCTCCTATATTCTTTGTAGAAAAGAAAGATGGCAGTCTACGGCCATGTGTCGATTACAGGGACATTAATAAAATCACTGTTAAAAACCGTTATCCCTTGCCTCTCATTCCTGAACTTCTGGAGAGACTTCGTTCAGCTAAAATATTTACGAAGCTTGATCTACGGGGGGCATATAATCTGGTTCGCATAAGACCAAATGATGAATGGAAAACAGCTTTCAGAACCAGGTACGGACATTACGAATATCTAGTAATGCCATTTGGGCTTTGTAATGCCCCTGCAACTTTTCAGCATCTAATCAATGATGTACTACGGGATCTCCTGGATCAGTTTGTTGTGGCATATTTGGATGATATCCTGATATTTTCTGATAATCTTGAAAATCACAGAAAACAGGTCTGCATTGTTCTTGAGCGCCTTCGTACCCACCACCTATACATTAAACTGGAAAAATGTGAGTTTGAACAAACAGAAATTCAGTTCCTGGGGTATGTAATAACTCCTAAAGGTTTAAGTATGGACGCAAGTAAAATTAAAGCTGTGCTGGACTGGCCCATCCCCAAGAATGAAAAAGATATACAGAGATTTGTGGGGTTTGCCAATTTTTACAGGCGTTTCATTAAGAATTTCTCTGCCGTTATTACACCGATCACTGAACTTACACGTAAAGGGACTCCTTTTCAGTGGTCCAATAAGGCTGACACTGCATTTTCCAGATTAAAGACTCTGTTTACATCTGCCCCTATCTTGGTACATCCTCAGCCAGAATTGCCATTTACTGTAGAGGTAGATGCTTCTGATTCAGCTGTTGGGGCTATACTGTCTCAAAGGACTGGACCTAAGATGTTGTTACATCCATGTGCCTTCTATTCCCGCCAGATGTTACCAGCAGAAAGAAATTATGACATAGGGAATAAAGAACTTTTGGCTATAAAAGCTGCCTTCACCGAATGGAGACATCTCTTGGAGGGAGCCACCCATCCAATTACTGTCCTCACAGATCACAAAAATCTGGAATGTATCAATCCGCTAAGAGACTGTCAGCCAGACAAGCACGCTGGTCCCTATTTTTCTCAAGGTTTAATTTTTTTATTTCATACCGCCCTGGTTCCAGAAATGGCAAGGCAGATGCCTTGTCTAGGATAACTGACCCCCTCCATACTACAGTAACCAAGGCCACCATCTTGCCGGAGAGCAGATTTTTAGGAGTTACCTTTCCTTCTGATCTAATGTCTCGCATTAAAAAGGGCTACTCTAAAGATCCAGTTTTTCGTGATCCTCCTCGTGATCTTCATATGACCATGCTTAATGGGTTTTGGATTTTTCAACAACGTCTGTATGTTCCAGAATCAGTGCGACTGGACGTTTTACGCCTCTACCATGACTCTAAACCAGCAGGTCATCCAGGAATCCGAAAGACACAAGAACTACTTACCCGATCCTTTTGGTGGCCTAAATATTATGAGGATGTTAAGAAGTATGTGTCCTCTTGTGATGTATGTGCCAGACATAAGACTCCTCGCTCATCCCCTGTTGGCTTGCTTCAGCCTCTTCCGATTCCTCATCGTCCCTGGGGATCTATATCCATGGACTTTATTGTGGAACTACCTCCCTCTAAGGAACACACTACCATTCTTGTTGTTGTGGACCGGTTAACTAAGATGAGTCATTTCATACCAGCTCGTGGTCTCCCTTCAGCTAAACAGACTGCTGACCTTGTTATTCGGGAAATATTTCGCTTGCATGGAGTGCCTGATGAAGTAATTTCTGACAGGGGAGTGCAGTTTACATCTCATTTTTGGAAATATTTTTGTTCTATTCTAGGTATTAATGTAAATCTGTCTTCAGCTTTTCATCCACAAAGTAATGGACAGACTGAGCGAACCAACCAGACTTTAGAACAATATTTGCAGTGCTATATTAGTTACCTGCAGGATGACTGGCTGGATTTTCTACCCACGGCGGAGTTTGCCTATAACAATGCCCAACACTGCTCCACTTCTCTGAGCCCATTTTTTGCCAATTATGGTTACCATCCAACCTTTCTAGTGAGTCTCCCAATTACTACTCCCATTCCTGCAGTCACTGACCGGCTAACCGCCTTACGAGATTCCCAAGAACTGTTGAAGGAGACTCTTTCGGAGGCTCAGGAATGTTACAAAAGAGCTGCTGATAGGTACAGAAAGGAGGCCCCAGTTTATCATGTTGGTGACAAGGTTTGGCTGTCAACAAAGAATCTTAAGCTTAGGATTCCTTCTCATAAATTGGGTCAAAAGTTCATGGGACCTTTTAAGATAATCGCTCAGATCAATGCAGTCACCTTCCGTCTGCAACTTCCGGATTCCATGAAAATACATCCGGTGTTTCACGTGGCACTGCTTAAACCTTTTCATGAAAATACTTTCCCTGGTCGAGCCTTGCCTGCCCCACCACCAGTCCTCGTGGATGGTGAAGATGAATACGAGGTGGAAAAAATTCTTGACTCCAGGATCTTCCGCAACAAGCTTCAATATTTGGTTCATTGGAAAGGCTATGGTGAGGAGGATAGATCGTGGGAACCAGTGGACAATATAAATGCTCCTGATCTTCTTCAGTCTTTCCATGCACAGTACCCTGCTAAACCAGGAAATAGGGCATCCAGAGGCTGCGCCTGTAGAGGTGGGGGTAATGTGAGGAACTGACTCTGCTGGGTTTTGAACCCTGGTTTACATGGTGCTAAACCTCTTCCTTACCAGTACACCAGCCTGCCTTTTGCAAAGATCTGATACCATTGCTTGTAGAGTCAAGGTTATCAGTGACAACTCTCTTCAGCTGTGTCTGGTCAGGTGTCTGGTTCTTGGCCTATAAAAGCCACTTCCTGTCTCTGTACCTTTGCCAGATTATTGTGGTTCCTGTACTCTCTAATCAAGCGTGTTCCTGTTTCTCCTTCCTGTTGCTGAATTTGGACTGTTTTGACTTTGCTGCTTCTCCTTCCCACTGACCTCGGCTTGCCTCACTACGATTATCATCTTTCTGTTCCAGTCTCCCATCTCTGCTTAAGACCAGAAGGCCACTCACGGCTCAGGGGCTCAACCACCTGGGTAACGAGTGGCTACCTCTGGCAGAAAACATTGCTGATCTGGCTACTGGACTCCAAAACTTTGTAACATCAATATCATTACAACTTACTGCCCATCTTTACTAACTGCTTCTATAGAACACTAACTGTCCATCTTTACTAACTGCTTCTATAGAACGCTTTACTAACTGCTTCTATAGCTTACTGTCCATCTTTACTAACTGCTTCTATAGAACGCTTACTGCCCATCTTTACTAACTGCTTCTATAGAACACTTACTGTCCATCTTTACTAACTGCTTCTATAGAACGCTTACTGTCCATCTTTACTAACTGCTTCTATAGAACACTTACTGTCCATCTTTACTAACTGCTTCTATAGAACACTTACTGTCCATCTTTACTAACTGCTTCTATAGAACACTTACTGTCCATCTTTACTAACTGCCTCTATAGAACACTTACTGCCCATCTTTACTAACTGCTTCTATAGAACACTTACTGTCCATCTTTACTAACTGCTTCTATAGAATACTTACTGCCCATCTTTATTAACTGCTTCTATAGAACACTTACTGTCCATCTTTACTAACTGCTTCTATAGAACACTTACTGTCCATCTTTACTAACTGCTTCTATAGAACACTTACTGTCCATCTTTACTAACTGCTTCTATAGAATACTTACTGCCCATCTTTACTAACTGCTTCTATAGAACACTTACTGTCCATCTTTACTAACTGCTTCTATAGAACACTTACTGTCCATCTTTACTAACTGCTTCTATAGAATACTTACTGTCCATCTTTACTAACTGCTTCTATAGAACACTTACTGTCCATCTTTACTAACTGCTTCTATAGAACACTTACTGTCCATCTTTACTAAATACTTACGTCTTTCCGTCTTTTCCATACTGCACTGTTACCGATGTTGCACCCACGGTAGGCAGGAGAGGGTTTAGGACACTATTGTTCCAGAGAAATTTCACTCTTGTGACAGATCCGACAAAAGTCTCAACGTCAATATATGCAGTATGAGAGGCTCCTGATTTAAGGGTTCCGCTGTACAAATAAAATATACATACGATATATATTTATATATTTATTTGTTTTTTGGTTTGTTTTTCTTTTTTGCTTACTTGTGTATAACCCTTTCACTGTTTGCAGATGACACAAAACGGGACGAGAATATCATTTTGCCTCTTTATAAATCACTGGTAAGACCACATATTGAATATGCTGTGCAATTTTGGGCACCTGTTCTAAAGAAGGATATTACGGCACTAGAAAAAGTGCAGAGCCAGGCTACAAAATTAATAAAAGCAATGGAACATATCGGCTATGAAGAAAGGTTAACAAATTTAAATCTATTTTGTTAGAAAAATGTCACCTCATATTGGATATGATGACCTTATACAAATCTATCCAGGGCCAATACAAACCATTGTGTGTAAATCTATTCATAAACTGGGCTATACATAGTACACGAGGCCATGCGTTTAGACTGGAAGAATAGCTTCTTGATCCAAGGATAAATCTGACTGCCTCTCTGAGGTCAAGAGATATTTTTTTTCCTAGTTTGTTGAAAAATTGGAAGTGCTTCAAACACTTTTTTTTGGTGCCTTCTTTTGGATCAAAAAACAAATTTGAGGAAGGCTGAACTTCATGAACACATGTCTCTTTTCAGCCTATGTATCTATGTAATTATGTAACCAAAGTGAATGGCAGAGAAAACAAACAGTTCAGAGATCTGACACTTTTCCCATATTTTACAAATAACTACAGCTTTAAATAATAGCTTTACATAACCAAAATAGCTGCTTGTGCCAGGAGCACCCATATTCTAAACTCCCTACTGGGATTGTCTCTAAAACAAGTTGTTGAGGAGCCAACTCGTAAAGAGGCCATACTAAATTTAGTGTTAACAAATGGAGATTTAGTATCAGATATTACTGTAGGTGAAAGTTTAGGATCCAGTGATCATCAGTCAGTGTGGTTTAATATAAGAACAGTGACTGAGTCACACGACACAAAAACAAAAGTTTTAGATTTTAGAAAAACAGACTTTTCTAAAATTAGAATGTAGGTAGAGGAGTCATTATCAGACTGGAGCAATTTAAATGGAGTCCAAGAGAAATGGGATTATTTAAAAGTTGCACTGCTGAAGGCAACAGAAAATTGCATTAGACTTGTCAGTAAAAGCAAAAAAATCAAGAAACCACCGTGGTACTACGCAGATATGGCCAAAATAGTAAAAAAAAAAAAAAGTTAGCATTTAGGAATTATAAAAAAAAAACAAAGTGAGGAAGACAGAATGATCTATAAGATTAGGCAGAAAGAGGCTAAGCAAGTTATAAGAGCTTCCAAATCTCACACAGAAGAGAAAATAGCACAGTCGGTAAAAAAAGGGGACAAAACATTTTTAGATACATAAATGAGAAGAGGAAAGTAAAACAAGGATTAGATTAAAATAAAAAAAAGGAAGGTATGTAGAAGAGGATAAAGGTCTAGCTGACTGCCTCAATGAATATTTTTGTTCAGTACTTACAGATGAAAATGAAGGAAAGGGGCCTCAATTAGGAAAAAGGACAAATGATTGTGAGTTTACAGAGGAAGAGGTTCTATTTCAACTGTCAACAGACAAATAAGTCAATGGGACCTGATGGAATACACCCAAAGTTATTAAAAGAGCTTAGTGGTGTACTAGCAAAACCATTAACAGATTTATTTAACCAATCATTGTTAACAGGAGTAGTCCCAGAAGATTGGAAGTTAGCGAATGTTGTGCCCATTCACAATACAGGCAGTAGGGAGGATTCGGGCAATTATAGGCCAGTAAGCCTTACTTCAGTAGTGGGGAAATTAATGGAAACCATGTTAAAGGATAGGATTGTTGAAAATCTAAAAACACATGGATTTCAAGATCAGAGACAACATGGGTTTACTACTCGGAGATCATGCAAAACGAATCTAACTGATTGTTTTTTGATTGGGTAACTAAAATAGTAGATCAGGATGGTGCAGTAGACATTGCTTAGAATAGTTGATAGAGTCCTAACGTCAACATCTGAGGTTATGCTCATGCCATTGTACAGAACAATGGTGAGACCTCACTTGGAGTATTGTACGCAGTACTGGTGACCGTATCTCCAGAAGGATATTGATACCTTAGAGAGGGTTCAGAGAAGGGCTACTAAACTGGTTCATGGATTGCGGGATAAAACTTACCAGGAAAGGTTAAAGGATCTTAACATGTATAGCTTGGAGGAAAGACGAGACAGGGGGGATATGATAGAAACATTTAAATATATAAAGGGAATCAACACAGTAAAGGAGGAGACTATATTTAAAAGAAGAAAAACTACCACAACAAGAGGACATAGTCTTAAATTAGAGGGACAAAGGTTTAAAAATAATATCAGGAAGTATTACTTTACTGAGAGGGTAGTGGATGCATGGAATAGCCTTCCAGCTGAAGTGGTAGAGGTTAACACAGTAAAGGAGTTTAAGCATGCGTGGGATAGGCATAAGGCTATCCTAACTATAAGATAATGCCAGGGAGTAATGAAAGTATTTAGAAAACTGGGCAGACTAGATGGGCCGAATGTTTCTTATCTGCCGTCACATTCTATGTTTCTATAATGATTGAACCTCTACAAACTTATTGTAAATTTTGGGAGTCAATACCCCACAAAATAAAGGAAATAAAGACAGATTTAACAATGTATTTGAGAATTATTTTATCCCTTTCTCTTTTCAATAAAGTCTATACTTTATAAAGTCTATACTAAAGTGCTACTTTTTTTTTGCATTGTAAGAAAATTGCCCTTTGCTGGTTTTTAACCTGCAAAAAATGAATTCCTCTGCCAGGGAAACTTACAGAGAGTCTGTAAATGGGGCCACACCATCTGTGCCAATAGAATACAGAAATCTTTGCATTCTGAGAGCCAGATAAGGAGCATAGAACTGAGTACACTACAGAGATTTGTGCATGTTGCAAGAGCTGTCTGCAATGCTTACAGTAGACGGGTGAGTTATTTACACTAAGTGAACATAGAAATTGTCTTTACAAGTCTGATAGCAATTCCTTCCCAGAAATGCTACCGGGTCCTGCTAAGCTCTCATGATCAAGGTATCTGACAATTTAAATTTTTTTATAGTTATTAGTGAGTAGTGAGAAAAATTGTATTTCTGATTATATGCCTTCTGGATTGCAAGTTCTTTCGATTAGGGTCTTCATCAAATTATTGTTCCTAAAGCATTTTGCATTTGTCTCATTTATTTTTACATTTCACCCTTAATAACATTATAAAGCGCTGCAGAAAAGGTTGGTGCTATATAAATTATGATTATCTCCTCTCTTCCTGTTTTGGGATAACAGTGAAAGAATTTACAGAAGAATTCAAATTGTGTAAATTTACATCATATTGATTCAAAGTATCTCTGAAAAGCAACCTATGTATAAAGCTGCTCCTCAGAGGATAAACATCATTCCTCATCCAGTGAGTGTCGTAGCAGATACCTGTATAGTGCTGGAAGTCCAGCCCACGTTTCTAGCTCTGTATAAGAATTATAAGATGTTACATATACATTGACTTACCTGTAAATTTGATACTGTCGAGTGTTTCCAGAGGCTCCATACAATGCAATGTTGAAATATCCCGAAGTATCTCGGCTGGCAGTGAGCTGAACAGTCACCTTGTACCTCCAGCCTACGGATACAGAGGGATATTATTACAGAAAAAATAATAATGCTACGAATAGTTACATTTTATGGATTTTAGTTTACCCTTTGCTCGTGGATTGTCCTCCTACTAAACTAGGCATTTCAGGAATATTAAAGCAAATAGATTTCAATTTAAAATAAAATTAAATAAAATAACAAAAATTGGATACGGGATACCTTTATTTTCCAACAAAAGAGGAGTATGATGCAGTAAGACCACGTACCACCCTGCTCTAGCTTATCTTATTTGCCATCAATATACAATCGATCTGGAGATACAGACACTGACTAAAAGGAACCTTATTACATCGCGGTGAAATCATTGCAGACACTTCGATCTTATTCCGTGTATTTGTATTTTAAGGTTTTCCCTGCAAAGTATGTATAACTACGTCTGAGCTTCACCAAACACACATTCCAAATGAAGGGTCTTCCTTTCGCTAACCAATAAAGGTATTATTTCATAAAAAAATGTTTGTTATTTAATTCTTATTTAGTTAACTGGCTAACCAATAAAACAATTAAACAATAGAAAAACACTATGTGGAAATTATTATCCAAAGTTCGCAAAAATAGATTCATGCTGAAAGATTGTTCATTTTGTAACCACTTTGCAGATTCCATTATTCCGTAACTTATATTTATAGAAATGTAAAAAAAATAAAAAAAATCGAAAACCCACGTGAAAAGTTCTTTGAGTCTCCAGTTTTCAAGTAAAAC